TTGTCTATATAGTTAAAAGAACAATTGATTAAAGATAAACAAAGTATGTCTGATCTTATGCATAAAATCAAAGAGGACGCAGATCGAGAAGTATTGGAGAAAAAGGCTGACTTTGCGAATAAATTGAGAGAATTGAAAAAAATTAATTTAAATCTTAGAGGCGAACTTGGATCATTCAAAATGAAAGCTAAAGCGTGCGTAAGCTTTAGGTTAAAATTCTGCAGTGCTCGAAATGGACCAGAATTATCCTAGGTTCTAACATTAACCTTTACGTCAGTTCCTTTTGGACAAAATATTATTTTGAATTTAAGATTTAAGAGGTCTGGTTATTAGTTCTAAAAAATAAGAATGTATAAACATAAAACCCTAATTCGTAGTCTGTAATCTGTATTGTATTGCAATTAACTACAATTTTATACAACTAATATACAAAACAAATAAAGTAGAATGTTTTGATGTGAGAATCATAATGACAAAAGCACTCATGGGTTTGAATAGGTGAAAACCTACTTAAATGCCTTACTGTTATTTATGTTCTATATCATAAATCATAATCATGATTTATGACTAAAAAATGAGTTTAAGTTTAAGCTGCATTTTGCAATTGTATGCATTAATTTTATGTTGGACCTCCACTCACCGTCACCGATTTCAATCCTCAAAAATAATATGTTCTCGCATGGTTAATTAAAAATTAAAAATAGGCCATTCGACTGATGACACTAAGATATATAAAAGTATATATGAAGCTATGTAGAAATTATTATGAACATTGAACGTTTATCGTACTTTGAACAATTAAATTTATTCTGTTTTTTATTATTATATTAAACTAAAAATATCTCTATATTATATGTTAGTTCTAAAGTCTTAATTTAGGTGATAACAAACTTTTAATTTAAGAAATGCGATCATTCTACTTATTAGATGTCTAAAATCTATAACATAATGTTGTTAAATTAAAGTTTATACCTATAAAGTGTACCTATTCTATTTATTTTGGAATAATAAATTTACTGATCAAATTGATACTTATAATTAATTATAAATATGGGGGAAAGTAGGTGACCTCTCTACCATGCAGGGATACCTCGTAATTGGTGAAATCACACAAGTCATAATAATGTATTTATGTATGTCGTATTGGGTACCTATGTGTTGAGTTTGAATTCATCATTGCGGATTCTAAAAAGTAAAAACGATTCTGAGCGTCTTCTATTTTTGAGTCACACTAAAATAATTTTTTTCGCTTTTGAAAACTACTTAGAATTTTTTATTACTGACCACTTAAGTACCAACTAATTCCCTTTCTACATTTCCTACCAAAAAAGATACTGAAGTAGAAAATTGAAATATTTTGGCTGCCCTAAAGAGGTGCGGCTGACAGTCAGAATAATTAATAAAAAATACACATCATTGTAAAATTAGTATACATTCATCGCTCGGAATCTAAAATGTACTTATAATAATTAGGTAGAATGTTGTGAAGTTATGGAAAAAAAATATTATTATAGGGATGGCCATATAGGTACATATCGTACCTACCTATCTACCTATATTGTATATTGATACTACTATTGAAGTGAGATGGCGGGAATTGGTTTATGAGTAAAAAAAAGGGTCAGAGTCATGATGTACTTTGATTTGAAATTTTGAAAATAAGAGAACCAAATCATATTTTAATTTTGTAAGTGATTCAATTCGAAAAATTTTCCATTTCGAGCACTGGAAATAAAAATGCAGAAATAGTTATTTAATTATTTAATGATTTATAGATGCAAATTTATAATATTATGTGTTAATGTTGATTTATAATAGAGCGTCGAAAGAAGCAGAAGACTTGGGTAATTTACTTGAAAAATACGAAGAAGATATAGCTCAGCTGAAAGTATCAGTCAAAAACGAAGAACAGACCATATTGGGCCTCAAGAAGCAAATACAAGTTCGTGACGATATTATAGAGCAAAAGGAATCACGGATATTCGAAGAGAAACTTAAAATGAAAGATATAGAAAAACAGTTGTTGTTGACAAAAGAAAATGTTGGTGAACTAGAACGAACGATTGAGCCGTTAATAATGGAAATACAAGAAAGAAAAAAAACTATCGAAGACGTGAGTTTTATTTATAATATGTACTTACTAGGTAAGTTACCTACCTACGTGGCTACATATACATAGTAATAAATAATAATATTATAAACATTAAGTTATTACCTTTAACATACCGGACTTTACACTTAAACACGATACTTTGATAAAAATCGTTTATTTGAAAATTGATTTAACTCGTATAGGGGCGAATATGGAATACGTAGGATTAATGGGTTACAAATTACAATACAAATCTATAATAATTGATCATAAATGGTAACAAGTTTATAATAATTATTATTATTATCAATGTAATATGTTAATTAGGTTTATAATTAATGATGTCACATATTGGCGATGAAAATATGTTAAATCCTTTGGTAAATTGTATTAAATCCGAATAATAATAATTATTGTTGTCACTGTGACGGAACTCAAAAGACAGATGGAATCAGAAATGTTAAGTATGACAGCAGTGGTAAAGCAGATGCAATTGTGCATATCCGAACAACGGGACAGATTGAAGGCGTGTGACCTAGAGCTCGATAAAAAAGACCAGACAATCCGTGACTTAAACAGAATCATAAAAAACTTTCAAGTTGATATCCACTTTGCCACTGAACACTATCAAAATTCGGCAAAGCTCAAAGACGCAGTTAAAGTGAGTAGACTAGATTGGAACTTGTTACTGTTTTTGAAGGAGTTCCGCGTAAACAATTTGTATATCATTCGCGAATGTCTGTGTAACAAAATATGCCAAATGTATCATTATCGCTGTAAACAGGATTCGGCTCGAAGTCGGTAGCTGCCCAAGCACTTCAAATTGAAATGTGTTTTAAATCCAGTGTGGTAGAACAAATGCACTTCATATATTATTCTAAAATTAAGTTAAGGTCAATAGTTCACATGAATTTGCCACTCACTGAACTGAAATTCTACTGACACCTATAAGTGTGCATGCTTATGCTGACACCTCTGGAATTGTAAATATATCAGCATTCATCAAAATGAATAGTATTGTTTTACACTCAAATGCTGATCAACCTACAGACCGTATACATACATTTTTATTAAAGATTTTTATTAAAAGACTTTTTTAACATTAAAACATATAAAAAAATTATTAACATACAACTGTTTATAATGAACAATAATACAATTATTGTATGTAATGGTACTTAGTTGAAAAAGTCAAAGAGTAGTTTATGCTTAGTATCTTTATTTAATAAGCAATTTGTTTATTTACAGGATTTATTTATTAAATATGGCAATACAAAAACTTTTGAAGTATCTAAAGGCGAAGAGCTTGACACCAGAACAGAGTTTACGAGACAGCGGCAATTTTTAGAACAGTCCATTATCAGCTTAAAAAAACGTGTAAATGCATGTACAAAAAAAAATGATTCCTATCACAAACTTATGGAGGAGAACATGGTCCTCATTGATACAATCAATAAGTTAAGACAAGAACTCAAGGAAAACTGTCAAAAATATGACAACTTAAAATCAATTTTTGAAATTAAAAAAAGTAAAAACCCAATTATTAAAAAAAATAAAAATAATAAGCTTCAGAAGGTAATGACAAACTTAGATGCAGTTGAATAATAGCATAATGAACATCATTAATGGTCAATTAAAATACATTTTAAAACTATTTTTTTTTTTTGTAATGCAGTTATTAATACTGAATGTACGACTATTTGATTTACTCTTTAAAAATAATAAAAAATATTTTACAGACCAAACAAAAATTTGTAAGTGGTATAGCTCATAAAACATCTTAGTTTTTCATTTTATATTATCATAATTCATAAGTATATAAATTATAAATATATAGTGTATTAAATTTTAAAACAAATTAATATAAATTATAATGCTATTACCTTCCACTAAGTTTATATTACTCATGCAATTTTGTACTTTACTTAAGTGACTAGTTTAAATAAAACAATTATTGACTACTATCTATATACTGCCTGCCTCTATTCTCTACATCAGCGGTTCCCAAACTTTTACGACCACGGCACCCTTAAAAAATTGTTTGTGTTTCGCGGAACCCTAATGTCTAATCCAACTCGACTACAATTTTTGTAAATTAAAAAAGGAAAATCAATTCCTTAAACTCTCAAGTCCAAATAATATTTTAATGATACTGTTAATGACTTTTCATTATTAAACTTAGTTTAAAAAAAAATTTTCAATCAAACATTTTTTAAACAACAAACATTAAATAAACATAATTTTCTCAATAATCTCATACATCTAACGGAACCCTTGACATTGTCCCACGGAACCCTAAGGTTCCGCGGAACACACTTTGGGAAACGCTGCTCTACATTTTAATGCATTGTAATTTATAACGATCATATATATATTTAAATATTTAAATTAAATATACTTGGTTTGATTGATATTTTAACAGTTTTACTGTCCATAATATTTTCTTTAAAATAGTTTGAACTTATACATTACATATAAAAAAAATGTAATTTATAATATTTATTAGTTTTACCCATTCAATTTTTGTCCCAATCTAAAAAAACTCATACTGGTGATCTGTTAAGTGATACTTAAATTATATTATGTGAGTCCAATCACTGGCGATAAGCTAAACTTTCAATGTATAATATCTAAGTATACAAAATGACTTGAAAAATAATATACATTATTATATTATGAAATAATTAATAGTGGCTGTGAATTTATTACAACAATTTTACAAATATCAGTTGTACAAAATTTGATCAATTATTTGTATTTTAATTAAAAGTTATAAAATGTACAATAGTAAATTTTAAACATAATATACTAATATAATATCCTTAAGATTGAAGATACAAACCGGAAAACCCATAAAAAATATACACCCACCATATTCAGTCCTAGAAAAAACTTATTTAAAACATTCAGTACAAATTAAAGTAAAAATGGTATGATTGACTTTCTATATTTTGGGTAATCAGAAAATTCTTTATTATAGTTTCTGTGTTTGCCAAGAGCCCATACCGCCATTTGGTAAAGTCCAGCAATAGTGAATATTCCAGCTAAAAAAAAATTACATAAAAATAATTTTTTATCAACAATGTAATATTAAATAATTACCTGAAAATGAAGATGTCATTATGGTAAATCCAATCCAACTACCAACCTCATAAGTGTAGTTAGGGCAAGAAACAAAATTAAAAAGAAGTGTAAAAGGATTTATAGTAGGAACAGGGATACGCCTGACTTTGGTACCCGGTGGACGAAGATTTCGCAGTGCAATGTGAATACTTAAGTTTCCCAATTCACAAAACTGTAATATTGTATAAAATGTTTATTTAATTATTCACATGACACTACAAATTTAATTTAATTTTAATACTTACAATAAAAGTACCAAGACCAAAGTAAAATTGAACTGTACATGGTGGAGTATACAATGGATGGCTAACAAAGTATGAAACAAAAGCAGTAAAACACCAGTAATATGTACAGTTTTTAAATAGATTCATTATTGGCATTGTGTTATGAGAGAAACGATGAACAAACAATGTTTCAAGCACACGCTTTATATAATGGAATGACCAACAGTAAGCAGCAACTCTAAGAAAACAAAAATAATAATTAAAATTATAAGAATAAGAATGAAATGAACATAGACTTGGAAAATCACCAATTCTCGATGATAAGCCATTTTTTTGATAGTAAAAATAGCCAGGTTTAAATACTTAGTTTTAGGTTTTTAAAAACGTAAACATGTTTAAATATGTGATATAAAATCTATTAAAACATTATTTATAACTATATTTGCTAACAAAATTGTATGATGAGTTAATGATATATAATTATTGAAAGTCGAATACAATTTTTGTTAACATAAAATTATTTTTGGATTATATGTCACTGATAAGGTATCAGTATACTTAAGGCAATATTAACTGATACAGCTAGACAGTGGGCATTGGTAACCTAATTAATGAATTGCGGAATAAAAATCCAAAATCCCCTGAAAAAAAATCCCTGACCTAAGCAAAAAAATCACCTGACTACAATATTACTCACTAACACATGCAAATTATTGAACAAATATTTTTTTTAGCACTAATTACCATCATTATTAATATTTATTATTTAATATTATTAGTATAAAGTTTATACTAATAATATTGTGTTTTTTTTTTTTTTTGTTTTATTGATCTTAAGCTTCGGCAACTGAGGCCATTAGCTGTAGGTTGTGGTACTGTAGGGTTTTTGGGACTGTTGGGTTACTGTAGGGTTATGGAACACGTGTGTGTTATTGTGTTTTATAATACTGCAATATTAAGTATAATTCTGTAAAAATAAGTTGAAATAATTTTATTTTACATTACTTGAGGTTATTTTCTATGACACTTTGATAATATTATATACAATATAAGAATTAAGAACTTAAAATGTTACCTATTGTAGTGTAGTATAATTGATAACTGATTATTTTTTTCTTTGAGAAACATTGATTAATCTACATTCATTAACTAGTGTTTGATAATGATTTTAATTTTATAATATTTTAGATATTTCATCTGTATAAAGTAAAACTAATACAAACACTTACTAATAATATTTTATTTACATTATAGTCAAAATATTATAATATTTAAGGAACGTAACATTTTAAATTTTTAATCCTTATCTATAAAAATTGAACTTTTTCTACATTTTAAGTATATATTACTACACTATAAGTATATATTTGTAATTAAATATTAATAATGTTAGTAATTACACTAATTAGAGTTTAAAAAAATATTTGTTAAAGTATTTGCATGTGTTTGTGAGTAATATTGTAGTCTGGGGATTTTTTTTCTAGGGATTTTTATTCCGATTGCCCTAATTATTACTGAAGTAAAAAAATTTCTCACCAAGCAAACTATAAGCAAACAATTTAAGAAATAGAATCCCGATAGGCACCAATGCCATGTATCCCAGCAATCACAATTAATTTCACACTAGCTATAACACAACTTGTACAACACTGTTTTTACCCTTTTTGGTACCTATCTAATAGGTAAATAACTACCTTACACATAAAAACATATTTAAAAACTATTTTAACTTGGTAGGACAACCTGATAATTGAAATAATTCTTATAATATTAAAATATAAGGACTTACTCAGCAACTTGTGACATTTTTTGACCAGCTGCTGCCCCATAAATCAGACTAGGTCTTAAATAAAATATTAAATATACAAATATGGGTCCAGCATATTCTGCCATAAATACAGTAGACCATCCAATTTGAGGGCCCAAGTCTTTAACATAAAGTTTCGATCCATTTTTTAATCCTAGAAAAAAGTAAGTACCTATTAATACAATTTGTTACTTCTAAAATATTACAGGTATTATTCAATAAGTAATTATTATCTACTGAATAAGAACATTATTTATAAGTGCCAGGAGACAGGCTATAGTGTTAGTATTGATTGAAATGTTTCTTCATTGTACCTAATACCTTGAATTTGATTATATTTATGTACATAATTTTGTATTAAAACCAATTACTTACTATACACCTGTATCACTAAAAATTACTCTACTGTAATTTAATAAACCTGAGCTTCCACACGAGTTTTCTCGGTGAGGTTCGGTGAGGTCTAGTATTCTTAAGAGAAATTTACTTAAGCTAAACATTTGACTTTTCCGTACTAACCTAAATCTTTAACTCTGTCGGTATCTTTTAAAGTTTTTCCTCTAGCTTCAAGTCTGATCGATTGTCTGTCTGGATATAAAGCAGACTTTACTTTACTAATGCTTTTCTTAATATCACTAATCTGAGAAGCATCTGTAACCTGAGAAAACACATTAAATTTAAATTTTATAGATAAAATATCTCTTGTCAACAATACCTTGAAGTTATTGATAAACATTAACTTAAATAAATAAATTTCTTTAAAATTAGTAATAAGATAATATCTGTAATACTATAGCACCACTACTACTATTATTATTTTATTATTATTATATTACATTTTGACGTATAATTTACCGATTAACAACCCAAGTTATTATCATTATTTACAAGTAATAAAACTATCTTTTGTTCAATAATGTTAAAAAATTAATTTTTTCAAGTTTAAATTTGAGAATTGAATAAATTTGTAAAAATAAATCTCCATTATCATTTATTTTATTTAGTTCCAAAAATGGATATAATGTAAAATCACTAAAATAAAAAATTGCAATTTAAAAATTTTATCTAAACAATTTTAACTATAGATTAAAAAAAATATTTATTTTTATTGCTGTCTAAAACACTTCATAGAAACTCAAGTTCTAACCTAACTCAAGTTCAAATATATTAATTATGGTAAATGAAAATCAATGTTATTATGAATTTTTAGAAAGTTATTAATCATTCATATTTGATAAGTACCTGTATATATTGTATATTTTATAAATTATTGTTTAGTAAAATATTACTAAGCACAAAAATGTTAATTCAAGTAGGCACACTGAATAAATTATAAGACATTTATCAAGGACATGGAATAACATTTTTCATTTGAATATTAATGAACAAGCTTGGTAAAGAAATTAATCAATTCCAAAATAATAATTTCAAATACTAAAGTAAGAAGGTATAAAATAAAAAATAAAAAAATTGACAATTAGTAATTTGAATCTGAATAAATATATTATGGAAAACAAAACAAAACAAAACATATAGGGCTATTTATTACTAATCTAGTTATTATTTTCATTAGTTTATGTTATTAAAATTATTTATTACATTATATTAAGTTAATACATATTATGTGTTTTCTATTTTGATTTTATAGAATTGTTCCTATGTGTAACATTCTTTATAAAGGTTATAACTAATAACTGTTATGTTAATACCCATAATTTACTAACTTTGTAGCACTCAATCAAAAATATGTAATATCTAGGTTAAATGTTAAATCAATCAAACAATACCTCATACGTGATAATCTAACAATATTTAATGCTTTTTATTTATCACTTTTAAAATCATGAGTAGATATTTAATTTTTACTTGTATAACATTTTTTTTGTATGAGTGCATATTTTGTGTTTTTTGTCCCCTTTTTTTTATTCCTAGATCAAACTTAAATAATGTTAATCGACTAAGAAATGTAAAAAAAATACTCAACATGAGATTTTTAAAACATATCAGATAACATGACAAAACAGATTAAAAAATCATAGTTAAAGAATTCTTCATACGATTTACCTACTAAAACTATTTTGAAAAATAAGTTACATAAATAATGAGGAATTGAGTTTTTATACCTTCATTGACATAAATTACACATAGGGGATATAAATACATAATACAAGCTTTTAGTATGAAATATTGTTAAAAATAATTCTTACTTTAATTTTTCCAATATTCTTGTCAGTTGTTGTTACAATTTCAATCTAGAAAAATAAAAAGTTTAAAAAGTTTACTTAGAAGTTTCTAAAATAGACAATTACAAATATTTATCACTATACAAAATGTATAATATTATTTTAGTACTATGTAGGTGTAGGTACCTACATACTATCTATTTTTTTCAACTACAATATAAACACAAATTTAATTACTACAATCTGGCTTATTGTATATTGTTGCAAATATTAGTCATAGACATATAGAACCAGTTGTTACTGGAAGCTCATATAAAAAAATATGAGTATTTGCAAAGTACATGGGTAGTGGCGTAAAGAGAAAAAGCAACCTATATAACATGGCTTGTCAGTCTGTTGACATGCATTACAATATATTACGAAGAAATACATTTAAATGATTATGATTCATTTGAAATAAAACTACAAAAATATTATAGTTTTACTAACTCAAAAGATTGCATTGAAATATATTGACATTAGATATAATTTTTAAGTACCTAATATTGTTTGTGGCCCCTTATTGAGTAAGGCACAATTTCTTCTTAAATAATAAATAAACAAAAATGAAGAATAGTATTATTTCTGTATACAATAAAAAATAATACTGAGCAATTTGAAATATTGTTGTAAAATGATAAACAAATGCTCACTATAAAAATAATATTCAGGGTGCTGTGTGATAATTCACGTGGGAAGGTAATATAACTTTTAAGTACCTACTTAGTTAAATAGGGTAAAAAATTACAACTACCTATAATTGTTTGATTAATTAATCAATTAATTAGCTAACTTCATAAATAATTAGTAAAATATAAATATATAACTATTCAATTTCATACTGCAAATTCTATAAATTATATTCACAAATCTTTGCTTAATGACGATCTATTAATATTTATCTCTATTAGCAGTCAATTTAATGTAAAGCTATAAATTAAATTATAAAAATGATCATTTGCATATCACACTTTAAAAGAATATTAATTTGTTTATTTTTTTATAATATTAAAAATGTCAAATGTTATTGTAAAACACTTGCAATAATATAAATTATACATTGCATTAAGAGAAAACAGGTTATGATTTATGTTCATGACAGCATCTAGTTCTTTTAGGCTTAACTGATGGGTAGGTAGTACAATCAACAAATAAGCTGTTATGAAGGTTGGATAAAATTGTATTGTTGATCAAGTACATAATATTTAACTTGGTACTTGGGTGAGAGAAAAAACAGTGTTAGTCATAAGGTACATTTATAAGGGTCTATTCACACCAATAATAAAACTATCAGGTACATACATGTATAATTTTACTTTTTGAAAATTAAACAAGGGTACACGGTATATATAAATATGCTGGAAGATGTTATACATAACAAGTTTTTTGTCTAGGACGTACGATAAATGTTTCAGGGTTAACATGTACAGAGGGCACAAGGTGATCTAGACTAGTCAGAAGTCATACTATTCGAAAAAAAATCAAGTATTATTGGTACTCTCAAACAAAAACTTTTAACTCAATCATCTCAAACGCTAACACCGGGCATTACTATACACACACTGGATCTATAAATGTTATGCACAAATGTATAAAATATATAAAATCTGATAAAGACTAAAACGATCAAGTACCCTCGAAACCATTCATAGAACAATACACGTTTTAAACACGATTTGAGTCACAAAAAAACTTAAATTTAAGATAAGTGTGTAACCAATCAGTAGAGATTTATTTACCATTGTGATCTCTGGTGGTTATAGTGTAAGGAAAATTCTTGGGAAGAGAAGTGGTTGAAGGACCCCAGTAATTAATCAAATAATATAACCTCACTCGATTTTAGATTATTTTTTACTCATACTTAAATTTTGTTGTATGTGCTCCATTACAGGCTAGCTTCGGTTTATCTGCTATACTGATAGACCGATGTAGTGGGTTAAGTCATAACTAAATTTACTTACCTCCATATTTCAAAGTGTTGCTGAAACCGACCGCGTGGCTTATAACGTCGGTGATGGGACGACGAACAAAATATAAGCAATAACGACCTTAACAGCGAATTGCGAGGAGACGAGACTACCGACAATTAACTAAGTTTCGTATATATATATATATATATATATATATGTATATATAGCGAGTCTGACTGACGACTGAATATTGAGTAACGACTGGTGAGTGCTGACGACTGACGAGTGACGACTGAGGCTCGACTGCCACTGCTCGAGTTCCAAGTTCCAATAGAAAAGTGATAAATCATAAATGGCCGCGCGACGGCGACACCAGCTGATACTATATACGGACGACGTGGAATGTGCGTAGCGTGTACTCGCCACTAGTCATGGTGTGTTGTGTGTAGTGTGTACTACAAGGAGCTACGGACTACTTACCACTAGTACTACCTCAGTACTATCGTTTGGGTCTGACGTCTACCTCCACCTTGTTATGACATCGAGTCGCTCCTAAAGATAATCGTTTTCTTGGTAAAGATACGTATAGAAGACGATCTGAAATAGTAGTTTGGAGAAGAAACTGTCTCAAATCGTGGTATAGAGATTAGAGACACTGTACATTTGTACAAGTGGCGTATTTAGCATTTTTGAATCTAGGAATAAAACCATGGGTACAGGTATAAGTATAGCAAAAAACCATTATCATGGCGATGGCAATATGCAGTATAGTTCATTTTTTTCCTAACACCACAGACTTAAAATAATATATTCTATTTTGCAAAAATTAATTAATTTAAAAAATATATTACGCGATAGCTCCAAATATAAAATATTATAAGTAGGGTAGTAAATAGGGTATTAGTGAATATAATAATATTATAAGTCACGTTTATTGTTGGTAAAATTGTAAAAAATGTATACTTACCCAATAAGTTAATATAACATTTAAAATATAAAATTAAATGCATATTGCATCAATAAGTATTGCGTTAATATAAAACATAAATTTATCATAATATAATTTATAATTTCAACCTTGCAGTATGATGTATAGGCATATAGCTAATAAAAAATTTGGTAGATCACGTTGCTTATCCCTATACTCTTCACATCATTTTTTTTGTTTAAATTGCATTTTTTCATACTTCTTAAGATTTTTTTTTTTTTGGTCGGACAATGCCTAATAACCGTTGCTGAATTTTTGTCTCATCAATTACAACTTCCAGTGTCATTTTCTTAATGAGATTCCAAATAGAAGGGTGCTTATGGCTTACCAATTTCGAAAATCTAATATTGAAACCTTCAGTTTGGCTATTTATAAGCTTGATGTTATGGTGAAGTACTTTCGTATACATTTCACATTTCAGGTGGAAAAAGTAGTGCTTTTCAGAATTGTAATGAATTCCCTTGGCCAATACGTCTGTATGCTCCATTAACGTATGTTTTATCCAAATATTTCACCAAGTCACGTGATCCATCGGATCCTCTGTGCTGCTTTTTTTTTTAGTTGGTACAATGCGGGTTACTATTACTCATCAGTAATCAACGACAAGGCTAATTGCTGAATGTATAAGAAGTTGCCTATACAATTTTCCTTAGAACCCAGTAGTAAGGAGGTCCCTTAAGCTTGTTCGATAATATTATAGTAGGGTTTTAGCTCCCCCCACCAAAAAAAAAAACAAACCATCTGAAACCCCTTGAAACTCCTCTGTCTTCGCCAGAAATTGTATAGGCTACCAAAAATAAAATTGTTTTGTCTAGCCAAAGAAGTGCTGATTAATTTTTTGAGAAAACTCAAGAATCTACAAAAAAACTAAATGAGTTGTCATATTTATTATTTGAACCATCCAATTCTTTAAACAGCAGATGAAGCTTTGGTGCTTATTATCAAGAAGCTCACCGCCCAACAATCTTTAGGAAAAAAAGATAACTCCTCAGTTTTTCTCCTTGATGTAGCTCAAGCGTTTGATAAAGTGTGGTATTCCGTCCTCTTGTACAAATTAAAAAAATTCTACCTCAACCCATTTATTTATTTTTTTAATCATACCTAGAAAAACCGTTACTTAATTTGTCATAAAAGTAGGGTCTAAAATTTTGTCTTTGACTAAAATATTGGCCGAGGGTCCTGCAAGAACTGTATCTTCTTCTATTCCTCTATATTCAGCAGACCAACTGACAACCCTCCACACTTCCATAATGGATTTTGTCGAAGATAAAATTATTAATTCCTTCCACAATGATTCAATTATTGCAAGTAAAAACTTACTCAGCCATTTAAATATAGATGAAAAACCATTGAAAATATTTTTAAAGGACCCTACACTGTGACCTCCCTCCCTGGATTTCTGCTTATGCATTTAAACCTCATGTCTCCCTGGTACAACAGTATCTATATAACTTGCTGTAAGTGACCTATTAGTCTATTCTAGAGATCTTGTAGGTCTGCAACCTTTTAAACCATGGACGCTAATCTTTTCATCTACTAAGTACTTTTTATTGAGGGCTAAATTAATAAATAAAACAAATTGTACACATTATATACTCTATAATATATGTTTCACGTTCCCACTAAAAATGTTACTGAAGTTTAAAATTGAAGCATTGTTTTGACTAATTATTATATACAGATGCACAAAACAAATCATAGTAAAATCAAAACATTTATAGCTTAAGAATAAATAAATAAACAAATATATAAAAATACAGTATATTAATGTATTAGTGTCATTTAATAAAATATTAACTTTATTCACATGAAATATCTATTATAATATTGTATGATGTGTACAAATTAAATAGAAATAATTGAGTACATAGTCCGATATTCAAGTCTTACAACACATTTTTAACATTTGAGAATAATTTTGGTAGACGGCCAATGGTGACCAAGTAGAGGATCATGCTACATATTTTATCTTAAGTATGGTAAATAATAAAAATGATATTATATTATACATTTATCTAACCTAAGAGGTTATGCAACACTGTACCCATATATGACATTTAAGATTTCCATAATCCACATTCTACATTATAAATATATAGTTTTAGGCTTTAGAACTACTTGGTTAGGCATCATCATAACAAAGTTACTATTCAGGTTACCTCGGATTAGAAATAATATAGTTGAATCGAAAATTAAATTCATATTTACACAGATAGTTAATAATGTTTCTAGAAAATTTATCTTTTTATTAGACAATTGATTTGCAATAATGTTTATTAATAATAGTACATATTTTTATTGTTGTACAATATCAATACTTGAGTATCTTAATATTCGTTGTATTAAAACACAGTTTTAAATGACAAAAATATATTGTTTTTAATTAAAAAATTAAAAAATTAAAAAATGTAATTTTTTTTATCAGAGTTGAACATTAAAATTATGGTAAAATATAGTATAATAACTCACATGTCTAGACTATTTATTTCTATCAATATAAAGTCCTCTTCTCTTGGATGGTTGATTTGAGTTTTCATTCAATTGGTGTTGGTTATTACTTTGAACTTGGCTTATACCTCTGCCACGACCTGTATTCTTACACCAGCTGTTCTTAGCAGTTACAGGAGCATTTTTTTTCATATTTTTCAAATCACCAAGTGGAGGAAAATTCTCTTCTTTATTTGCTATAGTTTTGCCATTTGTATTTGTTTTATACTCTGGCTTATTCCATATTGGTTTTGGAATAACAGTTGATAATTTACCTTCAAGTGCTGGAAAACTGTTGGGCGCTAAAGTATTTGATTTATCAACTTCAATGTCATCATCATACTCTAAAGCAAATTTAGAAATACTAATTTTCTCCAAATGTTCTTCAATTGAACTGCAGTATTTAGATAAATCAAAATCATAATGAGAACCAGTTACAAGTTTTATGTCAAAATAGCGACAACAATGGGCTGATAAAATGTTGATCCACTTGCATACAAAATAGTTACTACAAACATGGGGGTAATCAATTTTTTCATGGAAATTACAACCAATTGTTTTAATCGTAGTTAACACATCTTTTGATAAGCTATCGGTAGCCAAAGCAACAGAAGGTAAAGCTAAATCATCTGTGTCCGGATGTTTAACCTTATAACATGCATTTTTCAGTTGCATGAATAGTTTATCCAAGTGGTAAACTCTAATAATATTATTAAAATCAGTTCTTCCAGCATCCTCTACTGCACTTTTGAATAAATTAAATAAACTTGCACTAGTAATCATTAACTCGTTTTCAATAGGTCTATGTGCAGTATAGACTGGTGGCATGTCTAATGCTGGGTCATTTAGAACAGTTACATCAACTTCCTTGTTCATGATAAAACCTAAAAAATTACCATACGTTTCAACAATAGTTTGAAACAAAAAAAATTTAATAATTTTTATTATTCATACTTACCAATCATTTTTAATAATATTTCTGTGTAGTTTTTGGAAAACATTGAGAATACGTCAATTTTATGATAGTTGGCAGCATGATTGTTAATATCTGCTGTAGGAGCTCGAGGAGCATTTGTTCTGATTTGATCAAATCCAATTAACTGATGATACATGCGTATCAAGCCTTTTTCTAAAGAAAACTCTGCCATGGATATCTCAGCAGGGAAATAAAATCCTTCCTTCTCGCATGTATAAGGGTTTATATGAATCAAAATGAATTTTTGCTTGGGAAGATAATAGGTGGCTGGTTGCATACTAAGCAATACATCTATATATGAGTACATAACATCTGTTTGCGATTTACTTTCATCTAATTGTCTTCGAACATCTTCTATATTTTCACCAATAGAAGTATATTTGACTACTTTTGTATCACTTTTCATCTGTTTACCTTTTATCTTATACTTTTCTTTCATCTCATCAGGCATATTTTCCCAATCTTTTCTGCAATACTCTGGCATCTCAGCCATGCTTCGTCTTATCCCTTCATTTATTAATTTCTGTCGAGTTTCCATCATGAATACAGAAAACCCATTGATCGTTTTCTTTTTAGGAGCCATTCCTAAGACAAATATATAATTACATTAGTAAATAATCAATCAATTTCATGTTAAGAATTGTATTCTTAATTGTAATATAATATGGTATATATTATTAGTTATGCAAAATTATGGAGATATTAATCATAATAAATATTAGTTATATTACTTTTCACAATTTTTTAAGTATAATATCTTATTCTGTATAACAACTTTTCATTTAAATACAAAAAATTTAAATCAATTAAAATTTTTTTGTTTTTAATCAAGGTGATACTTTAAAAGATGAACACTTATTTTTTTCAAAATATATTACCTATCATTTATAGAAATAATTTTTTACATAAAATGAAAACAGGTTTTTTTTTAAATTATTCTTAATAATTTCTATTTTTAATTTGCATTGTTATAATTTTTTAAGTTGCTTCTTTTTAAATTTTTTAATGACATTATATATTTTAGTTTCCGAGCAGAGCAATGCATTTATTAATCTTAAGCTGTGTTGTCTTACTGTAAGTATGTACAATTTATAGAATAAAAAATGGTCAGATATTCAACTTTGAGGGTGGTAACACATTAGATCTAGTTGGTTCTTCTTGGAGGTCAAAAATTGAAAATTCCCAGTACTTTTCATTATAATTGGGAAAAACAACAAATCATTTTTTTTATTTTGCTGTAGGTAATTCAAAGACAAATAAATATAGATATTTGAAATTTCCACAAAATGTTGATATAAGCATTTTCTAAACATAGTTGTATAATTTTTTTTAATATTAATTCTCACACTTGAAAGTCCAATATAACTCATCGACATCAGGATTTGCACCAATTAAAGCGGATGTACTACAAGGAGGTATACTTTCCCGCTTTTTCTTTAACATCTACATAGCTGACCAACCTTCCATACAACAAAATCATCTGATCCATCAATGTGGATCCTCTGATTGCCTCATCAGTTCATCACACTTACAAGCACATCTTAATAACTTGGCTGAGTGATATGAAAAGTGGTGAGTCAAAATTAACCAAAATAAATCGATACACACAACATTCACAGTCAAACAAGGAATTTGTCCAAACATTACCCTTTACAATGTACCAATTACCACATCTGACATTATCAGATATTTAGGATTAATCCTTGACAAAAGACATGGAATAAACACCTTTGAACCTAACGATTAATCTTAAATAATCACATGCGTGTGATCAGACCTTTGTTAATCAGAAATAAGAGGTCCACCTTAAACACCAAACTATTAATCTACAAAGCTCTATTTAATCCAATGTGGATATATGGACTTCAGCTGTGGGGTGCGGCACAAAAATCTAACACTAATAGAATCCAAGCATTCCAAAACATATCACTCAGACGATTATCCAATGCTCCACCCTATCTCTAAAATAACTCTTTATTACGATCTCTATATGAGAACAGTGTAAGAAGAAGCACTCATTTTCAACACACCTTTCCATAAACTCCTCTCATCATAGGCGTGCACACGGGGAGTGTGGCCAAATGAGTTCAGCTAAAAATAGATAAATAGATGAATAATATTTTTTAAGTTTATAATTTTTTTCAAACCCGTGGTCACACGATGAGTGCAGCAGCTGGTATGTACGATACACAATTAAAATCGTTTTCAGTTATCGCGGTGCGATAGTCGATAGATAGTGGCATCACAAATCAATACAGAAAATGTAATTGATGAAGTAAAGTTTACATACCCAGGTCCACGTTGTCTTGAATTATAATGTATAAAATGATTGACTTTTAAGACAAATAAAATGTATATGAATTTTTTTTTTATTAATTCTGACCTGACTAGTTTGTGGCTGGGTAACATACTAAAATTTTCAATGTGTTTGAACTGTGTACCCTCAGAAATAATGTCTTGTGTACGCCTATGCCTCTCATAAAATATCTCCCCATCCTTACTTTCCCAAGAAATCCTAACCGCAGAAAAGTACTTATGTTTTTTAGACATTGGGTTCAAATTTGGACAAAATTAGATATTAAACAATAAATGTTTTTAATTATTTTTTTGTTATTTAAAAAATTATTTGCAGGGACTTAAAATTATACATTTATATATTTTATTATACGCAACATCTTTCAAGTATTTAGATTCATTTTTGATGGTTCTAATATCAATAACTATAATTGCTAGTCATCTAGAACTAAATTGAAATTCCTTTAAACTTATACACCATCAAATAAAAGTTTTTTATATACCTAAAGAATTCAACAGACTTATTATTTTTCAATCTAATCTTATTTGGAATAAAAATAAATTTGTATTTAAAATAAAATAACACATAAAATGTGAAATTCTAAGGAAAATTGTTTTCTATTAAAAAAAAAGGTTTCCTAATATCGAACTACATTAACTTGTCATTTACTATGTTAACATTAAAGCAGTTTAATGAGATATGTAAAATATATAAACCATAAACTAATTAACAACAACTGCATATAACATAAGCATGATTAGAGGGCCTAGGATACTATCTGCTTTTCCTCTCTCAACACTGTAATTTTTTTTTATAGTTTCTGATTAAACAGAATAAAACCACCTATCATACAAATAACCAAATCAATCATTAACATAGTGATTATACATTTGTACATGATCAATGATCACCTTCTAAATCACTACTCACTCGATTTCAATCAATTATTATGTTGAGGTTTAATGTACGTATTAAGTGCAAAAGCCTAGTTCTATATTTACGTCTTGCAAGTCTAACAAGTGTCAAGCAAATAAAATACACAAATTATTATCTGTATACTAAAATTAAAAATAACAATTATGGTAAATGGTAGTAAATGCTGTATTAATAATCTAACCTGTTGAATTTCCAATGATTGGCTGTTCAAAATAAAAAACAGTTATAAAATGTAGTAAATTTCATTCTCTTCTTGTTTATTTCATGAAGGCACGCTAGGCACCAGACACCAGTTAATATGATAAGGATGAATCCGTTTCTAAAATATTTTACACACGATGTCTGGATACCTGGGTACTTGTGAGTGATAAGAGAAAACGATAAATTGATGTTACCACAATACCATTATTACCGTGCCTAAAATTGTATTATTTTAGGTTATGTTCATTTTATGAAAAAATTTTGAATTCAGAATTTATTGTGATAAACGATTACGTTGATATGTATAAATGTATAATTTATCTGATATAACAACTGAACACTGAAGTGTTGAGCTGATGAAGGTATTTAAAAAAACAGAAATGTAGTTAAAAATTTTCCCTGTTTGAAAATTTATTATTATAGCTATTTTTTTTACCTTCTTCTGTTATTCTAAAATAAACAAAATGATTAGTGTACGTCTTGTTTTATTTGTATGTTTGCATTTTGCGACTTATAGTAAGTTATCCAACAAAAATACTAACATATGCTGTATTATATGATTACTATTTCTTTTTAGCTCTATTAAATTGTCTTTCGGTCAAAGATCAAATGTATGCCAATATCATAGCGGATAACCCATGTTTTCTTAGGCTAAATGGAACAAATCAATTTGGGTGTACTTGTAAGTTATGTTTTAGATATAAGTAATAACTAATAACTAATTATGTTCCATTATTTATTTTGCAATTTTATAGCTTCAAGATTTGGAAATGTTGGTACATTACATTTGGTATCAAATTCAACTGATTTAAATTGGTTGTTTAATGAAGGAAATGCTGATCCTTACACTGTAGCATTAACACCAAAAATGTTTAATGGGTAATGTTTGTTTTGGAATTATTAATGCTTTTAATATATGTGATTACAAACTGTGTATGTATGGATTTAAGTATTTCTTCTAATTATTAATTGTATATAAAAACTTTAATAAGTGCCTTAAGATTAAAATACATATTGCTTATGTTCTAAATAATATAATATTAAAAAATATCCTGTTTATTTGCAGAGAAGTTTTACAAAGCATTGAATTGAGTGCTAAAGTAAACGGTATAATGTTACTAATGAATGGTACAGAACAAGAAATAATAGAGAACGATAATTTACTGAATAATGGATTTAGCCCAGAAGATACATGTCCTAATCATTATTCAGGTGTTAACAGTTGTCCAATGAAACCATGGAACCCCTATGGTACTGATATTCTTTTAAAAAGTTGGAGTTTCCCCATATTTGTTGTTTATGAACAAAACACGATCAACAATATTATAGATGTAAGAATAATCAACTTGTGACTAAAAATTATCAGCATAAAAATTAGTTTTTTATTTTCGTAGTGACTCTTACAATTTATTATTTAATAATGTTAGTCGTTAATAAATAAATAAAAATCTGGGATATTAGGTAGATTATTTTTATAAATTACACTATTTTTTTTTATAAGAAAAATTTGTTTTACATATTAAATACAAAACCAATGTTTTGGTTATAAGTTCAAGGAGAGGACTGATTAAAAATATCTATGAGGGGGAAATACTCCTTGAAATTTATTTAAATTTAGCATAAAATATTGGTTATGATTTAAATACATAAAATTTTGTTGTATTCTAATGGAATTAGATAGCCATTTTTCAACTATTTTATACAATTTATAGATGGTAGTTTGTTAAATTCCCTGAAAAAATTGGATGATGGATCTAAACATGATTAGGTTTAAAAGTAATTGTACAGTTTTTTAAAAAAAATCAAGGTTTTTCTTGCTAAAAAATTTTGCTTTTCGTTTGTGTGAATATGAATAATTATGAAAAGCCCACACATACTAAAGCATCTTTAATATAATATTGTTTTATTTTCCTCTATCACAGTGGAACTACAAAAGTAATAGAATTTTACTACCATCGCTACAATATGTATGGGTCTTTATAATTGTTTCATAATATTTTAGCAAAGGAATTAATTTGTTAGATTTTAAATTTATGTGCAATAAAAAATCCCAAACTTGATTTATTTTTGGTATTTAGTAAATATTTTATTATTTAGGATGGGGGCACAAACTGTATTTTTGTAGTATAGAGTCTATTTTATATATTCTTGTATTTATTAATGTTAAGTACATAATATATGTTATTTTTCCAGTGCTTTAAAAATCATAATTTACCTTTAAATAATCAAAATGATCGATCTTTATGTGCTCTTGAATTGAAATCTCACATGTATGCTGCTGTAGATTCCAAAACGTGTTTGAGACGAACAATGATGTCATACCAAAATATAAGACCAAGTAAATAGTTTTAGTTATGATATGTATTATATTTTTTGAATGACACTGTTGACTTGGAGTAGCCATATTCTACCTAGTTTGATCACTTAGTAGTACAATTTTTAGAGGCACAACATAATGTCATTTCTGCCATACTGAAATGAATACTGATCATTTTCTCTAGCTAAATCCCCTCGAGAGAGAGAGAGGTATAACCTATGACTAGGTTATTATATTGATATATATATATATAATAATAAATTTTGATATTGTAAATTTATTTAGTTAAATTCTGTGATCCGTTGGGTGATAAGAATGTGTATTGGTCTCTAAAAGAACTACGCCCAAATACACCAGAGCAATCTGTTGCTATTGTTGCTGCACGGTTAGATGCTACATCTATGTTTCAAGATTTTGCTCCTGGTGCTCTGTCAACAGCAACATCAATTGTGACGCTGATGACTACTGCTAATTTAATTTCAGAAATGTTTTCTTATGAGGATGCCAGCAACTTTTGTAAGTTCTCTAATTTAGTTTTTTAACATATTTTAATAAGATAAATTGCTGAATTTTAAGCTCAATCTTAAAAAAATACTTGTTTGTTATCAACCTACCTCCACACCATGTAAAATGTATTTGTCATCAGTTGATGCCTGACAGTCAACATTTAAAAAAGTTTCAAAATGGATAATTGTTATTTTTTCGTATTTTCATTTTTTATGTATCACATCTGATCAAGTTTAGTGATCTATTAACAAAAAAAAAAGAAATGTTTCCAAGTTTTGATTTTGAGTTGTTTTATTATTATATTATCGTGTTAGTATGTTGTGGTAAAGGGATGTTTCAAAAAAACCAGTTCACAGACGTTTCATCCCCTGCAATTATTAAGATAGGATGTTTCGTCCTGGGGAGTTATTCACCATAGAACATTCGGCATACTATCAGGCATATTTTGATTATATGACATTCGGTTATCAGGTTTTTTAAATCATTCTTGCAAAAGTTCATTATTTCACTCTATCAATCAATAGATCAATTTTTAATGAACAGTTTAATATTTGAATGACAATACTACAAATACAAATATATAATCATACAGTATAATTACAAATAATCAACATTTAAATAAATCACAATTATATAAAAAAAAAAATAAAATGTAAAAATGATTAAATTAAAACTAAATACTTGAAAATTATAAATGAATAATTAATACATTTATTTTTAGGTCAACTGGCATATTTTTTTTGAACAGAATAATAGTACATATAATCTTTATTACCTACCTATAGTCTGTATAGGTGTATTAGACATAAGTTAATTTGTCAAACATTTTATTTTATAATTTAAATTGTTCAATAAAGATAAACATATTAATGTTAAGGAAAGAAAGAACTTTTGAGAAATTAATAATTAAAAATGATTTGAAAAATCTGAGAACCTATAGTAATAATATGCCAGGTACCAAACATTCTATGGCTCATAATTCCACAGGACAAAACGCCCGTAGACTGGTTTTTTTATGGAGGTGAAACTTTTATGGTTTTATGTTGTTGCTATTGTATGTGTCATTACATTTAGAAGAACGGATTAAATAACCTAAGGCCAAGTTGCGTGCTTTCCTATCTTATAAATGTTATTGATAAAAATAAATTTCAATAAGTTATTAGTTTTAAATATTAAATACTAATTTCAATTTTTACAACAATAACACGTTGATGCAACAAATGAAACTAGCAACCATGGTCAAGAAAGAGCAATTAAGAATTCTTAGGAAATCTTTTTTTTCTTGTTTATTTATGCGTGATTATGAAATATGATTTATTATCTATGTTTATAATAGTAATATATTTTTATACTTTTATAGTTGTATTTAACAGGTTTGTTATAAATGTCTGAGAATGGGAGATAGTTACTTAGTAGCTTATTGATAACAAACATATATATTTTAAAGAACACTATATTAACAATTTTTATTTCCACAACTCCATTGAGGATAACATATAAAATATTGTTTTGTATTTACAGAAGCATTTAAGTTCTAATTAACGTTGATCAATAATAAAAACTGAATGCATCTATGTAGCAATATTTTTCAATGTTTAATAAAAAAAAATGACAAAACAAGAAACACTGAATAAATAATGTATAGGTATAAAATATTAATTTTCATGTGATGTTTTAATTTTAAATTATATGTAATAACCTTAAATATCAGGTTGAGTGTCACTGCTGGATTGTAACCATTATATTACAGATTGTATATTTCTCATAAATATTTAAAAAAGAAAAAAGATTGTATGTGTAACTCTAAACTAATATTTGTTTTTATATAAAGAAGATGCCAAATAAGAATTTGTGTTTTCTGTATTCAAGCGAGAATGTATCTTGACCAGTTGTAGTTAGTTTTTCAAATTCGTGTCAACTGCTGAACATAATTTTGCTGTTATCTGTATTAAACCAAATGTAATAGAAATATAAATCATATTTCCATAAAAATTTTTTATTTTAATTGCCTATTTCTTATAATTTAACCAGAAATGATTTTGAAAAAATCTTGACATTTTCAGCTCGGAATATTATGTTTATTTTATTTAATGGAGAAGCTTATGATTATATTGGATCAAGTCGAGTGGTCTATGATATGATGGATGGAAATTTCCCAAATGATTTAATTAAACTCAATCAAAGTCATGTTGGCTTATTTGTAGAATTATCACAAATACATTATGATAAAGAAGTGGTTTTTTATCGTCCAATAAAAAATAATGTATGTATTTAAAATTTATTATGTATCAAAATTTAAAAAAAAATAT